AATTTAAAAGGTTTATTTTTTAAGCTACCTTATGTTTTCAACGTTTTAACTTTTACGTTGATTAGTTTGGAAATTAACTAATTAAAACTAAAGTCAATGATCTGTAAATTGTTATATTACATTGTTAGTAAGCAATGTTACTTGCAAATTGATAAATCTATAGATTTCAGCTTTGATAAAAATGTATCAATATAAATGATTTTAATTATTGGTACGTACGAAATACAGTATTTCTATTATATTATATTCTATGATATAAGACACATTAATTATTAATAATTGTATAGTTGTTTAATACTTTAATAGATAGTTTTACTGTTTCCGGGCTATTTTTTTTTCATATTAAAAAAACTCAAAAATCTATTACCGTGTGTATTATAATATCCAGCTTACCTATCTCGTGTAAATCTTAATTAAATGTAACAATAAATTATGCTAAAAATATGGTCTTTTGCACATTTTGCGAATACATGTAAAAGAACCATTCTCTAAAACCGTAAAGGTGCCTACCTATATTCGCATGATACTCGCAGGCAATATCTTCCGGGTTGCTTTTAACATTACTGTACCATGTCGAGACTCGAGGAGGGTGTTACTGTTTATGGTTCTATATGTGTAACGTTATTTTGATTTTATTATTATTTTTTGTTGTCACGGGCACATACATAAAAAACGGTCATAACGGACGGCACTTGCAAGCAGCAGCGGCGGCGGCGAAGGTATAGGTGCACATACCGGTTTGAGAGGCTGCAGCCCGAGAGCGTGGGAGAGTTGCCGGGCGCCTTTGTTTTGCATATACGGCGACGGCCTCGTCGTTCAAGATTTATGCTAATGTCTTCCGCCCACGCGGCCGAAAAACCCTTTCTCGTCTGACGGTTTATCGGTACGATTTTTTAAATATATTTTTTTTTTAATCCAGCGAAATTCGAAATGCGCACATAGCACATCGGTACCTATGTAGGCATTGTTATATTTTATTAAGCGCGGACGGCAGAGATCCTCTTTCCGCGTGTGCGTGTGCGGGATATACGTACATTATTGTGCTATGATATATATGTGTTGTATATAAGCACCCATAGGGAATCCGCTCGCGGTATATGGCCGACCCGGCAACAACAATAATGGCTGTTGTGCTGGGCCGGCAGCGGGGGCGGACGACGAGGGGAAAAAAATAATTTTTTTCGGGGGTGACACCCCAACGTTGGATTCGCGACCCCCGCGCCCGACCCGCCGACCGCGGCCTCCGTGCATGTATATATCGCGCAGCTAACACCGCCGCCGCCTCACCATCAGTTCGTCCGAAATCGATTAGTCCAGCAGCGGATTGACGTGATGGCCAGTAATAGTGTGTGTGTGTGTGTGTGTGTGTGTGTGTGTGTGTGTGTGTGTGTGTGTGTGTGTGTGTGTGTGTGTACATTTAAAGCTCTCTTGTACACCCTATATAGTATATTATTATATATATATGTACAACGCTTTTGCCTAGGACGATAAATCCCGCGTACAGACCCTGTCATGTGTGTGTGTTTGCGTGTGCATTAGCCGCGCGGAAGTCGAATGGTCTAGTATAGTCATCGTCTATTCCAAAAATGGCCGATCATGCACTTCCACCCCGACCCCCCGCATTGCCGCCGACAAATGAGCTCTATTTATCCCGCGGTAAAACTATACGGGATACAACGAGCGCGTCCTATATATTATTATTATTATTATTATTATTATTATATTATCTCGCCGCGCGTATACTATTAATTCCTAGTAAAATATTATATACAATATTATATAATATAATATATAAGGGACATGGGCTTATACGCGTAATTATACGCGTTTGGGCGCGTAGGGGTCCTTTCGTGGGTCGAGTAAGCGACTCGTACCTATTACAATAATATAATTTACCAGACGCGTATACACCCCGAGAGTGCTGAATAACATTATTTCGAGAGTCGCACAATATCGCAGTCCGGTCCGAGCGCGGCCGAACGCGTACACCCTCTCCGCACACAACAGTCGAGTTCCTCGTGGCGATATTATTATTATTATTATTTAATGGTCGGCGAAGAGTCGTCCTGGCGTCGTCGTGGCGCGTGATACTCGTCCGTAGGGATGAATAATGTAAGACACCCCTGGTGCATCGACGACGACGACGACGACGACCCCTTTCGCGCGCTTCCGACTAGGACAGTGGGTCACTTATATAATATATACGCACGACATAGGTGTACACCGCGTGCACATTACGCGCACGTATTGCAATACAATAAGGTTCATGGGTCACGGGCGCCGCGTGTCCCGGGACCATTCATAAGACCCCCGGCACGGGTCACCCTATTGCCGCCACTGCCGGCCCAGGTGTGGTGTTGTGTCTGCCGAGTCGGTGCAGCATCCGAACGCCTGTGCGACGCATGCGATGCACATCATATTATTATTGTTATCGTGTGATGGGGTGGCGCCGGAGCAACCGGTTTATTCGGCGGACCGCGCGGTATAATTGCCGCTGGAGTCGGTAGTTACTACTAATAATAACACTTCGCGGTCAGGTAATAATAAATCGAGTTATAATAATAATAATATAGTCTTCGGACCGAATATTATAAGAATTGGACTTTTAACAGTGGGTATTGCGTCTGTAAGCAACGAGAATGGGCGTCCTATATTCGAATTTTTGGTGACGTATTATAATATTAGGTATGCTCGTGTACGTACCGCAGACGTTCGTCTAACTCAGCGTTTCTCAACCAGGGGGTCGCAAACACCTTGAATTGGGGTCGCGTGGGTCAAAAATAATAAAACTCTGATTTACAAAATGTACCTTTTTATTTAAATATTTAAGACTTTTTATTGAAAAACAAAAATTAAAATAATAATGATAAAAATATCCCGATAAGGATATACATAGATATGATGGTATTTAAAAAATTAATATTTAAAATGTTATATTTCGTTTGGTTAATGATAGGATATTTTTACTGTTCAAATTTTTACCTAATATAGATAGAGGGGGGGGGGGGGTCGCGAAGTGATTGGCCATATTTTATACCTATTTCGAGGGTCGTGACACTAAAAAGGTTGAGAGACGATGGTCTAACTTATTCATATTATATTATATATAATACTTATTTTCTTTGTTTTATATTTTATTCGTGTGGGTATACGTATTTATATAATATTAATACCTAATGCGATCGATTGGACATTTCAGCACGACTAGAACTGCGTAATGTCAATATAAATAGATACTTCTTATATAATATGTGTTAACGTAGTTCTATGTATACTGCACAGGACATGGGTATGAGAGGGACTATAACGTTGTTACAGAATATATTGGTACGATTCTATAAAAAAAAAATAAAGACGCGTACACGTGATTATTTTATTTCCCACGCGGGATTCTGAATATATTGTATAATTATATTATATAAGTAATAATATGTATATGATATCACAGTGGGACTAAATTTTTCTTTATTCTTGCGTCTATCTGGAATACGAACACGACACGTGTATACCGGTTGCAGGCATGCGTTATATGAAATAATATCGCAGTAAATGACGGCAAACGAGATTTCGCCGATGTTCGCAGACGTCAATGAAAAGCGTACGGCTTGTTTTCATCTCCCTTGTACTGCACAAACGTACCTAGCTATACTTAATGAAGTCGTACGCGCCGATGCCGCCGCCACCGTTGTCGGGCCGACCGCTCTCGCGATTACGATCGGTCGCAATATCGTGACACCGGAGAATCGCACGGTGAGGCTCGGCGCGGCGGCTGTTCGATTAGCATTTCGCTGGGCGAGGCGCGTGCGTTTCCTTCGCATAATACGCACAGTCGGCGGGTACGTATATACATATATTCATCCGATGTCGGCGCGATAACAGTATACCGCCGCCGACATCCTCATTTAATTTCACGGTAAAAAGGATATTAAAAATGTAATACCTCTGGACGGGAATAATAACTATACGCGGGTTGCGGTTTTTTTTCCTTCTGTCCGCGCAATGTACACGTGCGATTACATTGTACGGTATTATTTTATAACATCGAGACTATACCGTAACACACAAACACGACATTATGCACCGGCTACAACTGTGCTTTAATAGTGGGTATTGAATGCAACTGAATATTAGTGCACTGATATAGTTTGAAGCTGTCGTTGCCGTCTTTCACGTCAACCATCTACCTCTAATAGATTTTAACAATACATGAAATGCACAATAATGTGTGTACGTTTTTGCAAATTATACCACAATATTAACGACTTAATGATTTGTGCATAATCTACCGATCGAACTGTACGATAAACCGTTATTCGTACATAGATGTACATCAGCACTCGACCAACCCTGTATAATACATAGCGTGCCTACATGTACATAATAATAATAATAATAATAATATAATATTATGGGCAATATTTCGTTGACGAACCTGCGCGTAACGGCAGCATATCGGTATTTGGCCGTTTTTTTATTATTACTTTTTAAATTTCTCCCCGTTTTCGAACTGTGCGTGAGTTTTTTTTATTATAATTTCTCTCTCTATCTCTCTCCCTCTCTCTCTCTCTCTCTCTCTCGCTCTGTCTGTCTCTCTCCCGCCGCGCTATGTCTGTACGCCAAAATAATATAGGGGTTCCATTCGGACGCGTGCAGTGGGGTTGAAGTAGTATGCGAGTGTGTTTTTCGATGGGTAGGGGGTGAAGGGATAGTAGATCGTGGCGCGGGGGCGGTGGAGGTGGCGTGGGTGGTCGCACGGTTTTGCAAAATGTTTTGCAACCGAGTGCCGGGGGTGCTGGTGCGGGGGTGGTGAAATGCCGTACTAAGGCCGGGTGGAGGGCTGAGGGGATGAAGGAGTAGGTGTTGGTGGCAGCAGTGGTGGGATAGGACGAGGGGTGTTTTTGAACGTCGGGGGACGTGTGCGGTGGCCTCGGCGGGGGTCGGTGGTGGTGTCGGCGGGGGTGGTGGCGGTTCGCTCTAGGTGTAATAGCCGACGAGTCGCCACAGCCTATATGTCTCACGCCGACCGTTCACCGGTTTAAACTACATTCGGGACGCACTAGATCAGGTCGACCGATGTGCTTTTTTAATGTGTTTTGTTGTTGTTATTTTACTTTATTTTTAGTTGGCCGATAACTGTAGTAGGCATTTACTCTACGATCGTACTACGCGGAACTTACACCAGTTGAACGCATCGACGGGTTTTCACTACTACGGTGGTTTTTATTTTTATTTTATTTTATTATTTATATTATTATTATTTATTTTAAGTTTTCTTTTATACTTTTATTTTTGTTTTTTTGTTTTTATTTGTTTCTTACATTGAAAAGTGACACCAAAAAGTGCCATCCGGATTTTATACCAGCCTATAAAGTTAGTAATCAAACTTGTGTAATATAATAATTATTATTAGATTTAGTATTTATTATTTTAGAACATAATATTACATAATTTCCAGAATATTGTACTTTTTTGCTTTGCATGATTTCAAATAATTACAAACAATAGTATTAGAAGTACACACTTATTTATTCTTTCTCATAGCTAGATGGGGTCTTACTTTTAATTTGTATTTTACTAAATTTAAAATTGAATATTTTATTTAAAACGAATTTAATTACAATAATATTATGTATTTTCTATACCATCATTTAAATTATAAATTATTCATGAATTTGTTCTGAACTTAAATATTTTTTTCGTCTTTATTTAATTTTTTAGAGGTAGAATATTAGTATTTTCATTATTGCTTAACTTTAGTCGAATTCGTTAATGTCTCAAAATGTGTTTCACTTGTTATTAATAACTCAAAGTTAATTTATAAACAAAATTTAAATTCATTTATTTTACACATACTATATTTAAGTTTTATTTTGCAATTTAACATTTGTTGGGCAATTAGTTAACAGTTATTTTAGTGGAATTTTTAATAATGTAAGTTGACTTTGATTCAATTATTGATTCGTAAATATCTAATAATAGGTACAAATGTTAATACAAATTTTAGTATACTGTATGGTTTAAGAATTTGATAACCACGTTAGCGCACCACAATGAACATTTTTTTATTGGCAGGTCGTAGATACACTTAAATATAAAGTCTTCAATTAATTACCAGAGTTTGTCCCCTAGTTCGTCCCCTAGTTTGTCTCAAATAAATCTCATAGCTACCGTGAAAAACTTCAATCTAATTCCAATTATAGCTCATCAGCTTTACATATGCCGCTTAGACGACTCAAACGGAAATGGTGTGTCTTGACCTATGCATTTGCATAATTTAAAATCATTAGATGAGATCTGTGTGACATCCTTCCATATATTATTTTGTTTTTCATTTCTTACAGGAAAAATCTTTAATAAAAAAATTGAGTATAAATAACAATGTATGCAAATTTTAGATATGGAAATTTGGAATATTATGAAAAATGCACTTTAACGTATTATTATTTATGAATGAGTTAGTTCAATAAGTGAATAAATATTTTCAAATACAATTTTATTTTTATGTTTAAATCTTCCCATAATATTTCCTAAATAATTATTATATAATTATAAAAATGTTTAAAACTTAATAGTAATTTGGTATAATAAGTTAGAAAATACGTGCTTATTCTAATAAACGTATACATATTTGTATTTGAAAATGTTTAAGTAGACTTAAATTAGTGTTTATGATTAGGTATGAAAATTAAATGATTATTAAATGGTGTATATATTCAAATAAAAAATTATTGATGCATACAATATTTTTTAAATTTTATAACCTAACCTTATATGCAATATTATAAATTTGTAGGTACCACAAACCTATGCCATAGTTACAACTAGCTGACGCTTTAAAATGTCGGATATAGACCTAGCGCAAAGCATTTACGTAACAAAGTTGACCTCAGCAAGGATACTGTTGTACTACTACTTTTAATATAAAATAAATTAATAAAAATTAAATCAATATTCGTTTTTTGATAGTTTTATTTTTGTTTATAAGGATATTGCTAGGGAAATTGAAAATTTTCTTTTCAAAGTATCACTTATTAATATTAATAGTATAGTAAATCATTTTTTATATTTAACATACTGGTTCATGAAACTTTTTAAGTAATAATGCTACAGTAAAAACGTTTAAAGAAATCAAAAATATCACTGGTTTGATGATATTTAATTTTTCTGTACCTCACTATAAAGTATAACTTATTAAAAACATCGTTTATTTAGTGGTTTATGAGGTAATGAACTTTCATGAAGAAAAAAATAACTGATGAGAAACAACAAAATTTTAAAAAGATATCTTTAGTTTTTTAGCACAAACATTATATAAACGTTATGAAATTAATTTAAGTTCTTGTAAAATTCAATTGAATAATTCAAAAATGTAAAATCTCTAAGATTATACATTTTTTTAATTATGAAAAATGACCAACATTATACAAGTAAACAGTAAACTGTTTCACAAAGTTGCCTCATACTAGAAATGCTTAAACAAAAACCGATTTACTGCAAACGATTACATGACATTTAAAATTTTTTAAAAATGTTAGTGCATGATTTGAATACAAAGATAAATTCTAGAGATTCAATTTTTTCAGTTCACCATCCAAACACTACATCTAAATTAATCAATTAGTTTTTTACAAAAAAAAAATTGTATTTTTATAAAACTATAATATAACGAATACATTTATATCTTTAGTAAGATCGAAAATGGCAATAACTTATAAATATTCTGTACAAACACTCCTATTTTTTTTTTTAGCTTTTGAAAATTAATTAGTACACCTATTATGTCATAGGTATATGGTATAAATAAGTAAATATATAATGGGAAGAAAGGCTATCCCGATTGATACTTCCAAATAATACATCAAGTTACCTATATCCTTGGCCATATATGACTATTATCTGCAAGCCAACACCCATACTATCGACATTATTAATTTTATATTTTTATATTTGCTCTTCTATAATACCGTATCTGAAAAAATACTGAATTCCGATACTAAGTAATCAAATTGAAGTGTAACTAATAAGTGGCTTCTTTCGTCAATGTTTTTTTTTTTTTTTTGATTCCAAGCTAGATGTACTATGTCATTTATCAAATAGGTATTCTTATTATGCATTTTTTGTATAGATGGTTTATCTCAACATATACATTTTTAAAAAAATATATAAATATATATTTACATATTATTGAAAACCTATTCCATAATACCTATACCTACCTATGTAATTAATTTACGATCTTTTTTTTATGAAGTTATTTTTAATACAGTTAATTAATTATGTAGTTTATTAATTACAAACCAATATTCACAATTAATTTATATCATATAATTTATTCGAGTGAAATTTGTTCGAATGGAATTAACTATTTTTTTTTTTTATAACATACCTACTGGTATTACGCAAAGCAAAAAAGGGTTTCTATCCATCATGTTTTATTTAACGAACACAAGCAGTTATTTTACACTTTCATCATTTGGTTTATACATACACCTTTAAATAATACATTTAGGTATTAGGCTCCTTTGATTGATACATGATTAGTTAGGCACTTAAGACATAGTATTACATTATATGTTAGCTATATAAGTAATTATTGTATATACTATATATAATGATTAATTTGTATAAAATCTAGTTTAAAATTCTCATACCCCAAGCAACTGGGCTGTGCGTCATAATAATATTATTTCCACTTTTTTCTCCCTAAATGCTGATTGCCAACACGGATTCCCCTGGGATATAATGTTTAATCAATACTATCGCAAACGCGGGTATATACATATATATATTTTTATTATTGTTTTGTGTTTTTATTTTTTATTTTTACAACACTAGCGTGGATTCCATTATGAATAATATAGGCGTACATCCGTTATAGGGAATTTCGGTCGAATCAAAATGTGTGGAAAAAAACAAACGTCACTGCTTTGGGAACGGGGAGAAACCATCTTTTTTTTTTTGTTTTGTTTTATGGCGACACGTGATTAATGGGAACTTTTTCCACCCACCCCTGGTAAAAAAAAATAAAATAATACGCTAGGGTCGATTTTTTGGCGCTTGAAATCCGTCCCCGAATATACGCATATAATAATAATGGTAGGTGGAACTAGCGCCGCCAGCCTCACTGTGTGAACAAACAATACTTTTTTTTTTACGTGAAATCAATTTTTTTTTCACTGCATTTGAAACGTTCGGTCTAATAGGTAATCAGAGTAGTTAATTTTAAAGCCAATCAATAAACACTTTTGGCCACTAATACTCCCGTATTATCGAAAAAAACCCGTGTCCATCGAATGTGCCAAATGATTGCATCAGTTGGACGTGACCACAATGATTAATTTATGATTCAACATATATTATATTTATATAATATTACATAATAGGCCGCATAATATGTCGGTGCACAATTGTGAACAACACTTATAAATATTATTATTCAGCTGTTACTTTAATTATATACATTATTCCATTGTTCTAAACCATACCGGGTTAAGGATTTTAAAGAGGATTTTAAAATATAGGTACTTTAAAATATCTTTTGATGCATATAAATTGTATATGATATTATAGTCTTTAAATATATTATATTGATATGGACTTACCAACAGGTTTAATTTAAAAATAATTATAATATGATATTAAAAATGTAAAAATTAACAATAGCTATAGGTAAGAGTAAACGTGCTTTGATCACGTACTCGTATTTTTTTAACAAAATTGATCTCAAATGATCTTCAAAAAAACATCTACAATTATCTAGTCTTCGTGAAAGTCAAATCCCTAACAAATGAATAAGATATTTCTAAACATTCAAAACAGTACTTAAGTTAAAACAAATTTATGTTCCCTAATAAAATATGTAAACGTAAGTATAAAATCAATTTTAAATGTTGATTAAATATTTCTTGCTGTGTTGGGTAATAATTATTAAAAAATATTGTAAATATTTTGAATATGTCTTTATAAATAATTGAGTATTAATAATTTATAGACAAGGTGCATATAATTTTGGTTTATAGGTAGGTATAGCATAAATAATAATTTTTACTCTTTTTATTTATTTTTTCAGTACATTATTATTATTTATTAATTATACACTTTATACGGTGATATTTTATTTAATCTTTAAATTAAATAATATCAAAAATGACAATCGAAAAGTATAATTTACTGATTATAGATACATAAATTATTATAAAATTTCTCTGTCTAAACTATTGTAAATGTTATAAAAAAAAAATGTTAAAAATATAAATAAAAAAAAAAAATAATAATAATGTATACACGTTACTACGGTAGCACCTGTGGTGACATTGTTTATCTGGATATCATGAGGTAATCATATTTATTTTGAAACACTAATGACAGATATCAATAAAATAGATTATTTAGAATAAACAGTCTCGAATTCAAATATATTTATATAAAAAATATAACTCTATTCCTTAAATCTCAATACAAAATATAATATTATGTTAACCGTGAAAAACAACCCTAAGATTTGCTTCGTGTAACATAATGTCTATCGATGTTTCAATAAAGGGGGAGAAAACAAAAGATGATGCTAACTTTGTTACAGTAAATTTCCCATCCGTTAGTAATAATTATTTTACACTCCGAATAGGGACAGTATAGTGTTGTTATTACATAAGTATTATTTTTGTTCCATACGGATAGTTTGAACAAAAAAAAACCAAATTGGTTTTAGTTAAATCAAAATAATTCATTTTAGCTTGTGAAGTATATAAAATACACATAAATCTCATACATCGGCATACCGAATGTTTTTTTTTAAATATATAAATGCAATACAAAGCAGGTAACATAATTATTAAATGTTGACTTTGGGTTCGCAGGAGATTTGAGCGGTATAAATGAGGCGAAGGTACGATCCGAGGACTAGCGATCCGGCAACACAGCACAAGGACATCGTCGTTGTCACCACATCACCGGACGGTATGACCGGACCTGGGCAATAGGAACAGTATCACACGAAACGGAAATATTGTGCCGCTTAACCACAGCTGTTTGGATCGTTTTCCGGAGTGAACACGACAGGGGACAAATGGTTTAGAATTTAACACGTAGCACAACGTTCCCCATACAGGCTCCATCCCATCCCTAATAGTACCACTACATACATACACACAAACATACAGACATAATCTTATATACATAATATAAATACGCTCCTCGATATCTCCAAATTCATTCAATCTTATTCTTCCAAACTTTACACCCATAAAAAACTTTGCAACGTACATTTCCCCATCAAACAAATTGCTTAAATATATATTTTTGGCACAAAATTAAGTTAAAAATATATTTGAAAGACAAAAATTTAAACATTGAAATTCTAAACAAATTTACAAAAATTAATTACTATAAGTAAATAAATAAATTTAAACAAATATTTTATTATTGTTCAATTACATGAATGACTATTTTCGGAACTTTTATACAATAAGAAAATTATCAGAAATACATTATACAACATTTTATAAATTTTTAACTTTATTAATATTACCCTTTCGAATGTTCCTGAATATTGTGTGATATAAGAAAGAAGTATTTATATTAAATTGATGTGATATTATTTTTATACGCATTGTGTCTTGAAAAACGTTCAGTAGAAAGATAAATATTATAATATACTGGTACCTAGTTCCTTATTTTATCCTTCTCCTATAGGTTATATGTCCTTATAAATTATACGAACAAACAAGCCAACCGCGGAATTCCAAACAATATTTAATCCGATCGGTAAGTTATGAAATATTAGTTATTAGTTATTACGTATTACTATATAAATAATAGTTATTGGCTATGTGAAAAAAATGTGAATTAAACCAAAATCAATTTATTCAAACCAATAAAATGTCTTAATAAATTGAGAAACTTAATAAAATATAAAAATCATTTTTCTTATAAAAGACATGCTAATTTATTATATTACTAACAGATATCTAGATAAGTAAGTTAAACTAAATTAATTACTAAGTAAATATATTATTAAATCAATATTACTATATATTAGATATTGTAGTACTAAGTACTAACATATAAGCTATGACTTCCCTTCGACGTTACTTATTTATTTTTACTGGTATTATTGATTAAATATCAACAATATTATACAAACTATTATATTACTATAATTATTTTTTTTACTATTTTTTATTTAATATACTTATAATCTTATAAGTCAAAAACTATAGTTATTACTATTACTAAAATTTGAATCATATTTATGCCAGATTATTTGGTATTTTGCACTTAAAAACTGATAGTATTTTATTTATATATTTAATGTACACCATTGTATAGCAATTTTATCTTAAAAATTGTAAGCATTCAAATTAAAAATATAGAAAGTAAATATTCTTTGTACTAATATAACTATGGAAAATATCAATAGCATTATCGTATCACTATCCCTATCGGGAATACAGCTACGAAATGCACATAATTTGTGTGAACATTTAATTGCATTCTTTATGAAATTGATGAAAGTAAATCTAAATCTATAAAATACAAAATATATATAATATGAGAATATGAGATAGTATTAAACCGAAATTACTCGACCGCGTCATAAGAATGTAGGTATTATGTCGGTATACAATATTGGTTAGGTTATAACCTATACATGCTTTTACATCACAAAAATTGTTTTAACAGCAGAAAATATCGGTCCCACATATTGTGTGTAGTCAATGTTTTATCTATCGAATACTGACATACACAAATATTTTACATACATCTGAGAATCAATAAGATTATGGAAATTGATGTACTTGATATTAATTGTTGTTGATTTATTATTATTTCTATACATAGGTACATAATATGTTGGCCTTACTGTCCTTACTTGGTTTAACTTCTATTAAAAATTAATGAGTAGTGCCTAGAAACTATTTTACTTTATAAAAAAATAATATTTTTAAATTACCATAAATTATTCGTATAGTAATCAAAGTTATATTATATAATTATTAATTAGGTATTAGTTTCAACTTAATCTAAATAGTAGTTTTAAAAATAGAATTCCGGGTAATTTATTAATTTATTTATAAGCTACCTGCATTTTTTTAATTTGTAAATTGTATGAAACCGATTTTATTTCATATCAACTGTTGTTTTATATACCTATATGATTTGATTGACTCTCATTTACATATGTCAATTTAAAACAGGGTTATTACTAAAGAGACTTAAACGTTCGTAAACGAAATGGTGAAAAAACACATTAAGCCTTAATGTAATTAGATTCTATGATAATAATAGGGGTTATTAGGTTAAAATGGTTATTATAAGTGTTATTACATAATACACAGAAAACAGTTTTGGCTTCCGTTAAGTACCTATACGTCGAAAATCCACTTGCAGGACGCTATATTTCAATCTGCTCCTGGCCGATATAATTGCCTTGCGCTATCCGCGTTACAGCGCTGTTACAGGGGGTAAAAATTTTACATAACATATTATAGCCTTGACAAAATACTGTAAGCTGAATACGACGGTCATCGCGTGTTTTCCAAAATGGATCCGAAGGGTAAATCGATTGCGACGGGGCAGCAATGTTCACGTGTGCATATAATAATATATTATATTATATTATACGTTCGTAGTAGTGGCAGTGCTAGATGTATATATATATATTATACAGAGGAAGAAGAGTCGGGGTAGGGCGGCGCCCGTGGCCATCCCCGCGTATATATTGGGTTGGTCTAGCTCCGCCTACACGCGCGCACACACGCACACACGCACACGCGCAAACTAGTACGACAGCTCTATCGCTGGTCTAGTATTGTGGGTCTTCCTATATTATATCGTAAACGTCCACTATTCCAAAGTCGTGTAGTTTTTTTTCAGCCAAATAATATTATGAGCACCCACCCTATAATATTCCGAAATGGGGTTATTTATGATATAATATATTACTATGTAAACACTGCACTGAATATTGGAGGTGCCTCCACATATAACACGCAGTGTAATATAATATGAGAATTGGGTAGAAATACACGTCAAATATACGTCTTTTTCGTTTATTTTTTACTGTAATTATTGCTATTTTTTAATATCGACTAATCCTATAATATATTGGCACGAAATTCTCCACACTCTCACATTCTGCACACTATGAAATATATATATGCATATATACGCGTTTCCCACCTCACCGCTGCACTTGACATCCAAAAACACAATGTGTATGACGTATTATATGTATCCGAATGAGTTTCCCGACTATATTATTATTATTATAATATATGCGTGTATAAACTCGCACTCCGTAGTCCACTGTATATATAATATTATTATCGTTATGATGAATAATTATTATCAATACATGGCCCGCGCCCTCGCCGCCACCCATCGCAGCCACTTCTGTCCCGTGTCCGTTTAGTATCTAAATACCATACACATACATATTATTATAAGCATACCGGCTGCTGTAGGGGCTGTTATATTTATATTGTAAATGGCCGAATCCATTTTGGCGGAAATTTAAATATTTATTGCTGGACGGTGGACGCCGGACGGACCGCGGGCGATGTGCTGCCGGATGGCGGGTGAACGGGATAGATAAAAATGTATCTGTTATGATGACCGCGAGCGGTTTGTTGTAATCCCTTTTGAAAATATAATACCAACAAACGGTAATGGTTTAGGAATTCCGACAGATAAATCAACAAGAAAAACACCGTCCACTATACACACATACATATATTTTATACAGCCGTTGCGTATTCATATTATTATGATATTATTGTGATAGCGGACACCCCCTCGATTTCCCTACCACCACCGACCTATCCGTTTTTTAGGGGAGGGCATTTTGTCGGGCAGCGCCACCGGGGCGTTACTAGAAAATATAATATGTATATTTCGCCGCGATGATGTATAAAATACATTTTATCGTACGTTTGCGCGACCGTGAGTGGTGTTGTTGTGCAAACACGCGGACTGTTCGTATAAATACACATACATTATACCTAAGCATCATGATATGTTTAATATACCGGTAACAGTGAGGCACAATAAGTCCGATCAACCAAATAATATACACGGGGTAAGTCTGCAAATGGTTTTACGTCTTATTATGCAATATTGTATTATTATTATTATTATTAAATCTATATTATATTATTATCTTCTCCGTTCTTTTCGCGTGCGTTAATTTCTACGCGATGCACCTGTCGTACCTAGCTATTTGCATTTTTTTTTCTCGTTTTCTCGATATTGCAACGGTGCTAAACTGCAGGTAACCCGTGCACACGTCGGCGGAATGCGATACATAAATCAACGAGAAATGCGCGTGAATAACGTAGGTATGATATTTGTTCGCATCTTTTCGTACGGTTTTTTTGCGTGTCGCCCTCAAAAGTCGTTTTCCAATGCGTGTACGACTCTGCGCGTAAAATAATATAGTAGTATACATAATATAATAGGTATATATAGGTACCTTTAATAGTATATGAAGAACAAAACTCGTATTTTTATTATTATTTAATATGCTCGGCCAGGAAATCATAAATATCGCAATCGCATGTACATAATAATATATAGGTAGGTACACTACAGCAGGGAAATGAGACACGAGCGGCAGCAGCTGCGGGCCGACGTAATTTTTCAGTGCTCTCGATGCAGTTTGGTTTTTTTTTCGTCTCTCGACTCTTATTGGGATAGGTATAATACCTGCAGCCTATATATATGTGTGTGTATATATTTATCATTATGTATTCTGTTTTTTTTTGCTCGTGCACAAATAACGTATATATATATATATATACAGGTATATTCAACATAATATGATAATTTTATATAACATTATGTGTATGCGGTCGTCGTGTAGTCTCGTCGTCGGAGCGCGGGCTGAAGGCGCAGACGTATAATATAACATATCGAAATTGTTTATCGGTTTCGTATACCAAAACCCCAGAGCTTTCAGCGCACACTACACGTAATCGCCGGTCATAATTTCTTCTTTGCGCCCTTTCTATATTATATATTATATATATTATGTCTCTCTGCCTTTTTTCCTTATACTTTTCTTATAATAATATTATATCCGCGGCCGATTTATTACGTTATTATTACTGCGACGGGGAAACGGACGACGGACACGCGGCGCGTACAATATTAATATTATAATATATAGGTGTATATGTTATGTACTGTAGGAATATATATATACAACACATAATATTATATATAGAAATATATTATATAGGTTGCTGTAACCACAGCCGCCACGCGTGGGAATCGAAACAATAATATGAGAGCGTATGCCGCCACTGAGCTCGGATTACCGACTTCGATCTAATATATTATGTAGGTATATTATACCTGTATGTTAAGGTTAGGTATATATGTTTAAAACAGTATTATATCGGCCGGCACAGCAGGGCTCGTCGCGAAAGTGCACTATACGTCATATTATAATATACACACCTCCCCGTCATCGAGGCGCACGCCGTCGCAACGAGTGTTGCACCGTATTTTCTCTGGAAATCGTCTGCCCCCCCCCTCTCCGTAGTGTCGTGCTGTATAGCACACACGCGTATTATGATACATATTATGATATTATTTAGTGCATCCAAACAACAATTATCATAATAATAATAATTTAAGCGATCGCGTGTAAAATACAAAAGCAGTGTACATTATTATATTTTTTGCCGTCAAAAAACACAAAGCATATACCAAATAAGGCACCCGACGTCGTTTATTTCTCCTAGTTTATAACGGTTATA